GCGCGTGCGCGTGCGCGTGCGCGTGCGCGTGCGCGTGCGCGTGCGCGTGCGCGTGCGCGTGCGCGTGCGCGTGCGTGCGCGGTGCGCGTGCGCGTGCGGGTGCGCGGTGCGCGTGCGCGTGCGCGGAGCGCCGTGCGCCGTGCGCCGTGCGCCGTGCGCGGTGCGCGGTGCGCGGTGCGCGTGCGGGTGCGCGTGCGCGGGCGCGTGCGCGTGCGCGGGTGCGCGGGTGCGAGGGTGCGCGAGTGCACCGGTGCGTGTGCGTGTGCGTGTGCATGTGCGTGTGCGTGCGTGTGCGTGTGCGTGTGCGTGTGCGTGTGCGTGTGCGTGTGCGTGTGCGTGTGCGTGTGCGTGTGCGTGTGCGTGTGCGTGTGCGTGTGCGTGTGCGTGTGCGTGTGCGTGTGCGTGTGCGTGTGCGTGTGCGTGAGTGCGTGTGCGTGTGCGTGCGTGTGCGTGTGCGTGTGAGTGTGCGTGTGCGTGTGCGTGTGCGTGTGCGTGTGCGTGTGCGTGTGCGTGTGCGTGTGCGTGTGCGTGTGCGTGTGCGTGTGCGTGTGCGTGTGCGTGTGCGTGTGCGTGTGCGTGTGCGTGTGCGTGTGCGTGTGCGTGTGCGTGTGTGTGTGTGTGTGTGTCTCCCCCCTTCTGGTCATCACCCTCCTGCTGCTGCTGCTCCTCCCCCATCGACCCCTCGACCGCTCTGCTCTTTCGCTCGCCCTCGCCCCCCTCGAAGGCCAGCCCTCCTCCTTACAGAAAGCTCCCCCTCTGCCGCCTCCCTGGACGCGTCTGCGGGCGGGCCCAGGCCTTCGCTTGCGACACTTCGGCGGTGGACACACCTCCCCTTTAACCTCCATTTGAATATTTAACCTCCCATGAACCTCCCATGTAACCTCCATTTATTGCGATATTGCGATATTTAACCTCCATTTAATGAAAACGGCCTAGGACCGAGACCGACGGACCTGGACCCGCAAGAATGACGGCCGCGACGCCCTCTCAAAAACCGAAGACAGCCAATTCGCCAATGAATGTGCCAGGGTAGGAGGTCTGTCCACCCCCGAACAGTATTGCAGATTATCTTGGCGGCGCGCACAAGGGGGTGGAGGGAGGGGGGAGGGCTTCTTAGAAGGAGGCTGCTTCTTAGAAGGCGCCGGCCTTACATCTATAGAAAAGGCCCGCGCCTCCTGAGAAGCAGGGGTTCTTCAAAGAAGCCCTCCCCCCTCCCCTCACCCTCCTCTGCGCGGGGCTGATGATCATCCTGAAGATACAAAGTAATACAACAACTACCCGATTTCCGTCCCTGGGACTGCAAAACGACGACTCAACAGAAATCGCCAATCCCCGGGAAGAGGCCGAGATCCTCCGGGGCCACGTCGCGAGACAAATGCGTCGTCTAACAACGGATCCTGCATGATGGTTCCGAAAGACCCGCGAGGCTCCGAAGATAGTCCCAAGAGAGCCTCAAAGGCTCCCAGAAGGGTCCTAACAGAGCCCCAACGTGGCCTCAAGAAGCAAAACCCTTCACGGCTTACCCCAGGCGTAGCCGGTCCACTCTGCTGTCACACACGGGATACCCTTCACTTTACCGAAGATCATGCGACGAGGGGCTTGCGCAGATAATAAGGCGGGTGAACTTACTGGTTGTGTCACATGTTTTCCCTACACTTCCCTGGTCAAGGCAACTCGCCAAGGAGTCGTAGCTTCTGGTGAAAGTCAACGGTGCATCGACTTTGAAACTACAGCAGGTCGAGTTGCACTCAGTTGTGGATCAATTTGCGGATGGATTGTCCACCAGAGGAGAAACCAAATCGACTGCGTTTTAGATGGGTGACCGTATGGACTTGGGCAGGAGGGGATGAATGGACGAGTAGATGCAATGATGGACGGGAGGACTGCTGTCGGAAGACATGCGAATCAAATGTTGACCTAGTCCCACAGCGAGCGTCCTTGTCGATATCAAGCTGGTTTACTAGGCATCTGTATGCACGTGTAGATCAGCTCCCGAACATGCAGTATTGCTCATCTCTGATATTTTTTCTGACGCGTCGTCCTTGTACTGCCAAATGGTGACGTACTCGGAGACGCAGGGCCAGGGATTGGCCTCCACCGGAGGGATGAGGGCGGTGAGGGGTCAGCAGAAGAAGACCGATATCAAATTAAGCTTGCCATCATGGGAGCCGATTGTCCCAAACAGGCGGGGAGCATCGTAGTTACCCACGGCGGCCAAACATGGGCGCATGATCTGCACAGCCGACCTGATACAGGCATCCACCGCCGTGGAAAACTCCACTTCATGGTGATCTTCCTCCGCACGTCGAACGGGGAAACTCATATATGCGACGTGGTGCAAAAACGGCCGAAACTCTGGAGCCCGTCATTACGCGGGATTGCTCGCAACAAATCATAGCGTGAGGGCCCCGCGGTCCGAACGAGAGCAAGGATGAGGAAACTAAAAAGTATCGATGCTGCTACGCCACCCACCTCTCCTGTGGTGCGCTCGGGCCAGAATTTCGAGGCGACTCCAGCGGTGGCGACGAGGGCCACCCAGGAAACCCAAAAGGGGGAAAACGAGGAAGGGTAACCCCAGGAAGCATTTAAGAAACCCCCCGGCGATATCGTAGCACCGCATTTTTTTATTCGATATTCCGAGGGGCCGAAATAACCGAACGATAGCTTTAGCACACGGACACGGGGAGGGCTCCTGGTGCCAGGTAACGCTTCCAGGGTGCGGAAGGGTTATCGATTTGCCGGAGGGGGGGGGGTTCTTAAATGCTTCCTGGGGTTAGCGGTGTTGGTACCTCTTCCTCCTCTGAAGAGATCAGCCGCCGTGCTTCCCCCACGACTCACGACGCCCAGGCGTCTGGCGCCTCCACCCTCGGCCTGATCGTCGGGAGGCCCCAGGCCGCCCAGGGCGAGGCCGGACTCCCCGGAGGGCTCCCCTCAGACCCGGGGCGTCGCCGACAAAAAAAAACGCGGCGGCCAATTTGTTGCACGCTTTCGGGGAATCCGCTTCCCAGCCACAGGATCGTCAGAAACGACTCGGGATGAGAAACCGGTCCCCTGGGGCCCACGTCACGAAAGAGAAATGTCGACGGCGGAGAGAGCCCCAACGAGGCGCAACTGGTGGAGAAAACAAGCCCGAGGCATGCCGAAAGTCAAGAACCACACCAAGAATACCCAAAACCTCCTCCGAGGAGGAGGGCCACAAATATCCGCTCAAGGCGAATCCCTGGACCCCTCCAGGACGCCGTCCTGGACAGTTTGCTCCAGCCGCGTCCAGCCCCAGCTAGGAGGGATCCCTGATGGGTCTTGGGAGGCCCACAATACAAGGAATAACGAGAGGAAGGAGGGGGAGGAGGAGGAGGAGGAGGAGGAGAAGGAGGGGGAGGAGGAGGAGGAGGAGGAGGAGGAGGTGGAGGAGGAGGAGGAGGAGGGGAGGAGGAGGGGAGAAGGAGGGGGAGGAGGAGGGACTTAGCAGAAAGGCCACGAGTCCTGGAGGGAAGGGGGCAGGTAAGCTTCTCGCCACCAGGTGGCGGCCCAGGAAAAAAAAGGACGGGTTCCGGGGACGCCCCAGGGCCTCAGGCCCGCCGCGCTCGGGACCCACACAGCACAGGGCCGACGACGATGCCTTGAGATTCCTGAGATAGGGGAACAAAAAGCTCGGAGGTCCGCCCGGATTTCTCGGATCGGCGCTGGGACCTCCCGGCGGCGCCTCCGGCGCCGCCCCTGGCGCGCTCCGCGCGCCAGGGAGGGGGGGCTCAGCGCCGATCCGAGAAATCCGCGCGGACCTCCGAGCTTTTATGTTTATGCCACTTTTTGCTCCCCTATGAGAGGTGAACGCTTTCTTCTTCGGCGTCTCGACATTGGGCGGAAGAGGGGGGGGAGAGCATGCTGCTTCGCACATATCTGATGCCCATGAACGGAGAGGATGAGTTGGGTCCGTCAGCGGGGCGGTCCTGTGTCCTGGCGCAGGAGCACGATGCTCCTTTTGGGTAGTGGGCCAGCTTATGATGCCAACCCACGCCCACCCCGTCCCGTCTCCGGGGACCTGGCATCCCCCCATGATGGTGGGCTCCGGACCTCCGCTTGACGCGACCGTGTGCAGCAGCGCGCCCCGTGGGGGAGGCACCGCCTGCTTGGAACAGGCGCCAAGAACGGCCAATGTCTGCTCCATTCGGGTCGGGCGAAAGGGGGGGATAGCAAAGGGGGGGGGTGAGAATCAGCTCACGTAGCTGATTTCCCTGGCGCCTCGCGGCGCTGGAGGCGGCCATGTATCAAGGAATGAGCCCCTCGGTGAGGCCGAAACCAGCTTCATGCAGCACATTTCGTACCCCCCCCTTTCCCAATCCCCCCCTTTCGTCCGGCCCGATCCATGGGGGGGGGAAGGGGGGTGCGAGGGCCCGCGCCGATCGGCAGAGCAACGAACAAGAGAACGATCACAAGCCACGACCAGTGTCTGCCGATCGACTCGCCCCGGCAAGCCCGCAAAGGCATGGGCGGGCGGCGAGAAGGCTCCCTTGGCCACCGACCTCGCCGCTCGCTGCAGGCTTGGGGCGACCAGGGCTTCTGTGAAAGAAAAACAACCTTTTCCAACAAGAAACAAACAACCAAACAAACAAACTAACTAACGAACGAACTAACTAACAAGCAGGCAACAAGCAAGCAAGCAAACAACAACAACAGCAACAACAACACCAACAACAACAATAATAATAACAGTACTAATAATATTAATAACAATAATAATAATAATAATAGTAATAGTAATAATGATAATAATAATAAGAATAATAATAACAAGTTTGATACTGTTCGCCCTTATATGCTCGAGTGTCCAATAACGCGTATTTCCCAAACCCTCGATACCTGCCCTCTTCGTCTTCGATCGAACCCCTTTTTTGGGGGGTATACCTTTCTTCCCTGCAGGCCGGGCCCAGGCAAGCGGCGGGGCGGCCGCGGACCGTCGGTCTGGCCAGCGGCAGCGCTGATCGGCGGGGCGGCCGCGGACCGTCGACCCGACCCCAAGAGGGACGGACAGGGGATCGACCACGACGACGACGACGACGACGACGACGACGACGTCGAAGATGACGGCGACAACGACAGCGACGACGAGCGAAAGCGAGAGCGAGAGAGAACGACAGCAGGGCCACGAAGGGCACGAAGTAGGCCACGAAGGGCGACAGCGGGGACACGAAGGGAATGCGTATGGGGCCACAAAGAGCGCGAACGAACGGGGGCCACGAAGTGCAGATAATGTGGGGGCCACAGAAGGCAACTATGGGGCCACTGAGGGTAGCAACTGGGCCACGTAGGACAGTGAGGGGGACACAAATGGCGACAGCGGGGCCACGAAGGGCATGCACATGGGGCCACAACGGGCGCGACTCCTGGGTGCCTGGATGTCGGGAGCGCGGCGCTTGGGCAAATTGCAAGAAATTCCAACGCAAGGCCATTCTGCAGTAAGTTGCAAGCAAGTCTCCAGCGAGAGCGCGACTCCAGAGCGCCGGGAGAGCGATTCCTGAATAAATTGTAAGGAAGTCCCAAGCGAGAGCGCGATTCCTAAATAAAATGCGAGGAAGTCTCGGGGGTCCTGGCTAAATTGTAAGGAAGTCTCAAGCGGGAGCCGTTGTTGTTGTAATCCAAGGGGCCAGGGGCCCAGTTTGAGCAGGAAGACTTTCCCTGTCAAAAAACAGGGTGCGAGCGTCGAGGGACACACTTTGATGGAGAAAAACAGTATGCACCGGTGGGGGTGGAATCAACAATATTTATTGTTCAGAAATGAGAACTCAACAAACAAGCAACCAAACAAATAAGCAGCCAAACAAACAAACTAACTAACACAACTAACTAACTAACAAGCATGCAAGCAAGCAAGCAAGCAAGCAAGCAAGCAAGCAAGCAAGCAAGCAAGCAAGCAAGCACAATAACAACATCAACAACAACAACAAACAAGCAACAACAACAACAAACAAGCAACCAAACAAATAAGCAACCAAACAAACAAACAAACGAACAACACTTACTGACGAACAAGCAAGCAGGCAGGCAAGAATGCAAGCAAGCAAACAAACAAACACAACGACAACAACAACGGCCCAAGGGCCTGCGGTGGACAGGCACTGCCTCCCGGCAGGCGACCTCTGGAGGGGCCGCGGCGGCCGGAACCCACGGCCCGCCTCGATCCCGGCGAGGCTCTCGCGGCCTCCCGGGCATGTGCCCGGCGCACTCCCCCAATGGATGCGGATGAGATGAGATCGGGCGTGTCCTCCTACATCGGGGAATGTTGCACGAAGAAAAACGAAACACCAAAAACAAAATGTCAACCAACAAAAATCGAAACATCGTCCCCAGACTATGCTTCGACTATTTCGGAACATTCCTCCTGTAGAGGGAAGAGGGACGTGCCCGACTTAAGGATGCGACGCAGACGGGCATACCCGTGCTGTGTGTCCTCCTCGGAGGCGCGTCCGACCCGAAGATGTAGTAGAACAAACACGTCTTGCAGCACATCGCTTCTCAAGCGGTATGGCCAGAACGCGCCTGCCTCGATGCTTACACTGCAAGATTTCTCGGCGCCCGCGTCGCCACTGGGGGGGGGGGCGACGCACGCATAGTACTAGCGTGCTGGGGTGACGCCGAGCTGAGGGTCCACTCTTAGGCGAGAGCAAACTGTGCACGTGCGCCGATCCTGTCCGGCCCCATCCTGAGCCCACGATCGCTGCACACGGATAGTAAGTCTCTTTGCCCGACACCGCGGCCCGTGGGCAAACCGCTCTGCGAGCCCCACCCCTGCAGGTCTGGGAGGCAGAACCTAAGCGGGGGTCGATGGAGGTGCAGGGTAACCCCAGCGCCGGCTGGACCCGCAGAGGTGGGAGTTCGCAAGCGGGCGCAGGAGCTAATAGAGGAAGGGAAAAACACATAAACTTACACTTTTGGCGCTCCGCGCGGATTTCTGGGATCCGCGCTGGACATCCCCTCCCTGGTGCGCGGAGCGCGCCAGGGGCGGCGCTGGAGGCGCCGCCAGCGGGGCCCCAGGCGCGGATCCAAGAAATCCGCGCGGAGCGCCAAAAGTCTTTGTTTGCGTGTTTTTCTTCTGCAGTCCAAATAAATGTCTAAAGCCGCTCATTTCTGATCCCGGGAAGAAGCAGATACGTAAGAATCATGCATGCTATTTCGGGCTTACCCGCGAGGCGAATAAGAAATGAAGAATGTGTAGAGTTCGCAAGTGGGCGCAGAAGCCCATACATAACATAGGAAAGGCGACTCTAAATAAATGTCTGGAACTCTACGCGGACTTCGGGGATCGGGGCTGGACCCCCTCCCTCGCGCGAGGAGCGGCACGGGAGGGGGCTGCGAAGGAGGCGCCGCCACAGGGGGGGCCAAGCGCAGATCCGAGCACTCCGCACGGCTCTCCGAAACTTCCCATGATTAGGCAGTTTTTGAAGGGGCCCAGGGACGCACAAGCAAATAGACACAAATCCCAAGATCCCCCATGTGTCCCATACTTCCTGGACGTCCGTCTTCCCCCCCACTTCCCACATTTTCCACATAGTCCTGAGAATCGACGATTTTTTGTAATTGTGTCTGGTTCTTCCCCTCCTGAGCGTTTCTTCTTCTTCGAATGCACAAGCACCTGCGGTGACGAGGCGGCGCCGGCCTCCAGCGTTGGAGGCGCCGCCAGGGGGACCTGCCTGGTGCAGGTCCAAGAAATCCGCGCGGAGCTCCCACAGTGCATTGAGACGAAGCCAGGACGAGGATAACATCGGGTGAAGATAAGTCGAGAATCTCTGAGATTTGGCGGCTCTGGGGGATGGCTCGGGCGCCGCGGCCTTCTCGGAGCGTTCCCGAAAGCTCTGGGACGGATTTATCCTCGCCCCAGCCCCGTCCGATGTATGTCCATGCAGTTTTCGACGGCAGCTACGTTGGCGCGTCGCCCTGCGCGGAGCGCACCGCGCGCTCTCTCGCGGCGCCCCCCGGGGGGGAGAGGCACGACGAGGAGGAGGATCGGGAAAGGCGCGTCGCGCACCGCGAGCCGCGCAGAAGTTCGCGCCCCCCCCACCCCCGCGGCGGCCATTGAACCTCCTCCTCCTCCTCCTCCTCCTCCTCCTCCTCCTCCTCCTCCTCCTCCTCCTCCTCCTCTCAACTCCTCCTCCAACTCCCTCCTCCTCCTCCTTCCTCCTCCTCCTCCTCCCTCCTCCTCCTCCTCCTCCTCCTCCTCCTCCTCCTCCTCCTCCTCCTCCTCCTCCTCCTCCTCCTCCTCCCTTCTGCACAAGGCACCCGCAGCTGCGGCGGCGCGGCGGCGGCGGCCTCCACCAGGCCCCCGAGGCCGTAGTAGGCGGCCTCCTGGCGCAGCGCGCCGAGGAACTCCTCGTCGCAGGCCCGGGAGCCGAGGAGCCAGTGCCCGGAGCGCAGGTAATCCAGGATGTACTTGAAGAGGTCCCCGGAGCGGTCTATGAAGAGGGGGTTGGGGAGCCTCGCGCGGGACGCGAGGATAGAAGTCGGGTCGGGTGCGGGCAGATCGAGAGTCTCTGGGGCCCGCATCGTGCTCTGGAGAGATGGGGTTGGGGAGCCTCGCGCAAGACACGAGAATAGAAGGCGGGTGGGGACGGGTCCGGAATCTCTGGCACCTTGGTCGTGCCATGAAGATGGGCTTCGGGAGCCTCGCGGAGGACACGAGAAGAGGTCGGGGGAAGACAAGTCGAGAGCCTCTGAGGCCCGGAGCGGTCTAGAAAGATGGGGCTGGGGAGCCTCGCGTAGGACACGAGAAGAAGTCGGGTGAGGGCACATCAAGAATCTCTGAGATCCAGCGGCTCAGGGTGAGGGGCAACGATAAGGGGGGGGAGCCTGGCATTTGGGGGGGGGGGCACGTCGACCTGGAATCGACGATACATCGCCGATAGATCGGCGATGGCCCCCCGATCGATAGCAAACCCGGGCGGGTTGGGGCCATCGGAACCCCATCGGCGATGAATGGGCGATTGGGGGTGGATGCGTTCCCCCCAATGCCTTACCCCCGCGCCATCGCTGCCCCGACTGGAGGATGTCTCGGGCGCCGCGGCCTTCTCAGAGCGCTCCCGAAGGCTCTGGAGAGCGCCTGTGAAAATGATACTTCTTTAGAAAATCAAAAACGCCATCAACATAAACTGTGGGTGCTCCGCGCGGGTTTCTTGGATCTACACTGGACCCCCCTCCTAGCGCGCGGAGCGCGCCAAGGGCGGCGCCTCCAGCGCCGCCGGGGGGGCCCAGCGTGGATCCAAGAAGTCCGCGCGGAGCGTCGAAAGTTTATGTTTACTTGTTGTTGTTCTTCTTCGAGTCTGTGAGGATGCGGCCTCTTGGTGGGGACCCATCCTCCTCCTCCCTCCTCCTCATCCTGCCTCCTCTCTTCCTCCAGGGTCTCGAAGGCTTCTCCGAGACTCCTTCGGGCGCTGAGGGCCTACAGAGGCCGACAAACGGCCCGGCCGCCTTCTTGAATGGCTTCAAGACGTTGCACGGTTGGGTCCTGGACGTTGTTTGGCGGTGCGCACAAGGGGGTAGGGTGAGGGGGGAAGGCTTCTTAAAAGGAGGCTGCTTCTGAGAAAGCGCCGGCCTTACATCTTCAGAGAAGGCCCGCGCCTTCTGAAAAGCAGGGGTGCTTCTAAGAAGCCTTCCCCCCTCCCCCTACCCCCCTCTGCGGGTGGCAGAGTTGACTTGATCAGGACGTGTTTCAAGACGCCGACGCCTTCAGCACGTAAGCGACGAAAAGAGAAGGGTCTCACGCGAGAGGAAATAGAGACCTCACGCCACGGTTCACGCGGGCCGCCAGCGCGATACGCCTCTCTAGCATCGAAGGCGCTTACGCGCGACCTTGCGCAGGAGGCTTACGCGCGAATGCCTGAGCAGTCGACCCCATGTTCGTCCGTCGCTCATGCTTTCTCCGCCCTCCACGCGGAACTGCCCACCCTGGGAGAGCACGCTCTCGAAGTGGGGGGCCCTGCGCAGGGTGCTGCCGGTGCTCTTGAACTCGACGCCGCCCACCTCGCCGGGGTCCGTCGACGCACGCCCCCCCCCAACCCTGGCATCCCGTCGGGAAGTCGTATCCGTTGGCCCCAAGCAAGTGACACCCACCAAGCCCCGACGGCGGCACCGGCGGCAAGCCCTGGCCCCTCCCTGGGGGCCGGAAATCCTTGGTAAGATCCTCGTCCCCCTCATCCTCAGCATCAACATCATCATCATCATCATCATCATCATCATCATCATCATCACCACCACCACCACCACCATCATCATTATCAGCAGCAGCAGCAGCATCAGCATCATCATCATCACCACCACCATCATCATCAGCAGCAGCATCAGCATCAGCATCAGCATCATCATCACCATCAGCAGCAGCAGCATCAGCATTAGCATCAGCATCATCATCATCATCATCATCATAATCGTCATCATCATCATCATCATCATCGTCGTCATCATCATCATCATCATCATCATCATCATCATCATCATCATCATCATCATCATCATCATCATCATCATCATCATCATCATCATCATCATCATCATCATCATCATCATCATCATCATCATCATCATCATCATCATCATCATCATCATCATCATCATCATCATCATCATCATCTCATCATCATCACATCATCATCATCATCATCATCATCATCATCATCATCATCATCATCATCATCATCATCATCATCATCATCATCATCATCATCAATCATCATTAGCAGCAGCATCATCATCATCGTCATCCGGCTTCAGCCCCTTGCTGGAGGCCCCCCAGCTGGCCGATTCCAGAAACCCTGCCCTCATCCTCTCTCTTCTGTTATCAGTTTTCCCTGCTCCTGTCCTCCTCCTCCTCCCTGAGCCTCCTTCCTCCTCCTCCTCCTCCTCCTCCTCCTCCTCCTCCTCCTCCTCCTCCTCCTCACTCTCCTCCTCCTCCTCCTCCTCCTCCTCCTCCTCCTCCTCCTCCTCCTCCTCCTCCTCCTCCTCCCCCTCCTCATCCAAGAAAAGGGTGGATCTGGGAGGGGAAACTCGACCGGCGGGCTCCATGGGCTTTGGCGTCTCCAGCCGCCATCACGGTGAGGACTGGACCAAAGGCGCCGGGCACCTCCATAGGGGGGAGGGGCGGGCGGGGAAGGGAGGAGCTCCCTCCTCTCTCCAACCTCCCTCTTCCCACCAACCTCATCGTCACAAGAGTTGCAGTCCTGTCGTTGAGCACAGGTCACGCCCCAAGCCCTCGTTCGACGAGGACCTCCAACCTCCTGGGGTCTTGGCCCGACGTCGTGGCCCAGATGCAGGTCTCCACAGCTTCCTTCGTGGGGTCGCTGCAGTTGTGGATGCGCTGATCATTGGTTTTACACTGTGTCTGCAACCCTGTAAAGCTGTATGAAACATGCTTCAAACAATTGCTGCATAGTTTGAACCTGTTTTCAAAGTTCGCAGACATCTGGCAACTATTTGACAACATGCCTCCTCTCCGTCGATCGTCTTCCACCGAACTCCAGGAGAAGCTCCTGGTCTCACCCAAGACCAAGGTGACCCCCACCTCCGCTCATGGCTCCAGGCTGGCTAACATGATGCGGTCTCTTTCAGGGCCCTCTGAGTGGGGATATTCGATGAGCCAGGACACTGGTGCGCCCGAGAAGCGCGCAGCCAATGGGTCGAAGCATTCTCCACGTGTTCTCGCTGGGTGGAGTGTTGCTAGCCCTGGCCAGCGGCGTCCTGACTGACGGTGCCCTGACCTCTCGGCACGCTGGCCACGCCTGATGCGAGCACGCTGGGACGCCAGGGTTGAGGCCTCTTCGAGCGCGGCGCGCCACCGAACGTGGCCAAGGATGGACCAGAGATGCACGGCCGCAAGGGCACCCTCGGGAAGGCTGCCCATCCTCACCATCGGCTTCGACCGTCAGCCAGAACTTCCTGGCCGTAACCAGACCAGGGAGGAGGCGGGGCGACATGGGCTCGATTTGGGGCTCTTCCTCGAGGGGGAGGGGGCCCGAACCACAACCTTGGGAGGAGGGAGGAGGGAGGAGGCAGGACTGGCGACTCCGAGGGGTGTGGTTTGCAAGGGGTGCGGTTTGCAACTGGCACCCTGGGGGGCACCCCTGGGGCGCCGGGCGGGGACCTCTGGAGAGCTCTCCGCCGCGCCCCGCCGAGGCCCGACGAGGCCAGCGCCGTGCTCCCCCTGCCCCAGTGGTGCCTCTCGTAAGCCACACCCCGGCGCAAGCACACCCCTTGCAGTCGCCGAAGGCAGTAGGCCCTACTGCCGGGATTCCTAACCTCGGGGGGGTTGTCTGGAGATTTCGTCGGAAATTTCGCCGGAGATTCCCGCTGCCGGAGATCCGAGGGGTCCCCACCCCTGCTGCCCGAGATTCTGGGGGAGAGTTCTGGGAGAATTCTGGGAGATTCGGGGATGGACAGACCCCCCTTTAGCAAAACGCGGTTTAGCGAAAACGACCGGAGGCCCAAACCTGGCGGGCGCAAGCCTGGAAAATAACGGCCACGGCGCCCTCTCGAGAACCGAAAACGGACAATTCACTCATCGACGTGTCGCTGTTGGGGGGTCTGTCCGCCCCCGAGAGATTCCTGGGGGAGCGAGAGGTCTTCATACGATCTGACAGCAGGGGCGCGCCCTCCGCGCTGGTCCGGCGGGGGCTCCCTGCCGCCCGCGGCCCCCTCGCGCCGCGCCGTGCTGCCAGGAGGGCGCGGCGCGCCGAATGGGGGCGACCGGGGGCTCTCTCGAGGGCCACGGCCAGCCTCGGCCACGAATTCACGGGCGAAGAACGGTAGAAAATAAACTGTTTTCGCCGTCGGGGGCACCTCTGCCCCAGGGCGGCTGGAAAGTTTATACCCCTACGGTGGCACCGTAGGGACGTAGAAACTTTCCAGCCGCCCAGGGGCAGGTGTCCCCGACGG